ATACATAGCTATCATGGAATTCTAGTTTACTAATCACATTAAAAGGTAGAAAAATGTAGGTGAAATTAATTTTAATATTGTCTGGATAAAGTATCCATTGTACCTATATCAAATTAAATACATTTTAGTGAATTACCTACTTTTTGTTATGTTTTCAAAATGTGGTGTATTTCTAGATCTTGCCTGCGTATTTGAATTACACTGGCCACATCTGAAGTTCAGTGGTCATCATATTGGTCACGCAAATGCGGAGCCTTGTAGGGCCTGCCAGGGCCTTCAAGTGAGATGGGGAAGCCAGTGGACGGTTTGGGGTTGGGAATGGTATCTCCTTGCCTTATGTTCTAGGAAATTTACTACAGCTGCTGTGATAAGATGGGACTGTCCTGGGGGCGGGATGTGAGGGTGAGGAATGAGGTTTTAACCAGGCACAGAGGGATGGCAGCTTGGACCAAAGCAGCAGCAGGCAGGAAGTAGGAGTTCCAGGTGTGATTCGGGGGCAGAACTTCCAGGCTTTCCTGATGTGCTTTGCGAATGAGAGAGGAGAGAGGGATGCATAGACCTTTGGCCTGAGCTTCTGGCAGGACCCGGTTGTTTGGGGCGGATGAAGAAGACTTTTGGAGAGGAAGGGAGTCTGGGTTTGGGATGTGGCTGTTTGGTTTTCATGGACAGTTGTTCAGCGGGAGTTGGACAGATGGGTGTGAGGTTTAGGTGAGGGGTCTGACCTAGGAGTGATGTCAAGGGCCTCCAGGGAGCAGGGCATAGAGAGGAGGGTGGAGCCAGCAGGGCAAGCTGAGCAGGGAGTGCTGGAAGTTGGGAGGGAGGCCCACAGAGTGTGGGAGGCCAGTGGGGAAGGGGCTCAGGCAGGAGGGAGCGGTTTTCTGCACCCAGGGCTGCTGATGGGCTGGGCAGGGTGAGCCCGGATGATTCTTGCTCACCGAGGAGAGTGATGGGGCAGATGCCAGACTGCAGTCCAGGAGAGAATTGGGAGGAGGGCAGCAGGTGGCTGGGATGGACGACTAGTTTTGAGTGTTCTGTTTTGGAGGGGAGCAGATAAAAGGGGTGGCAGCTTAAGAAGGGTGTAGGATCATGAGGTCATGATTTTTTTTTCATTAAAAGTGGGAATTTAGTATCAATGTAGTGTTGTAGTAGAAAGAGCAAAGTAATGATGCGGGGAGAATCATGTTACATATTCTTGTCCTTACCCTGTGCAGTAGGCACTGTTTTGGAGACAAACCCAGGCAAAGAAAGGCTCAAATCACTTGCCCAGGGTTACAGGGCTGATCAGTAGCAGGCCCCGGGGTTGAAGGCTGGCGGTTCTGCTCTGGAAGGCCCAGTCCTGGCTGCTATGCATTTCCACTTCTTGATTTCCTACCTGGGGTGGTCAGCATATCCAGAGTGTGGCCCCCAGTTAAAGTTTCCTGTGCAGTGCAGCACCCAGCAGGAGCTCTGGTTATGGAGCTCTGAGGACCCTGTGACCAGAGCATGAGGAACTATATGCTATGTTTGCTCGGTCACCAGGATCCCCCCCATGGGAGGGAAGCCAGGCCTCCACAGCCTCCTGTCACCCAGCAGCCTTTGGGAGGGGGATGAAGTGTGGGTGCAGAGGCTGAAGCTCATCTTAAGCCTAAGCTGATGATTCTCTCTGGTGTACCTGGTGCTAGGTAAATTGGGTTCATGCATGGGTTTGTTCCAGTGTGCTGAGTGACACTCAGGGTCTTTGTTCCTTTATCTGTAAAGAGGTTGGGTTGGATGATTTTCCGTCGGGCTCCCAGCACTGTGTCTCAGAGGGACACGGGCACATGCGGCTCTTCCTCCAGGGCAGAGGTAGAAGATCAGGTGGTCCCTGTGCCATGAGTCTCTTGAGACTTGTGGGGAGGAGCAGCCACCATGGGGTGGGGGCATAGAACTCCCGAAACACTGTTCGGTGCCTAAGACATTGTGCTTCATGGGCAGGGGCACAACTCGAAGTCATGGCACTGAGGTCGGGATCCCAGAACAGCCTTGTGGTGGTTTGTGTGCTTAGCCCAGGCTTGGCTTAGGGGCCGCCTTGACTTCAATTCGCAGGCTTCCTAGCTCAGGGATTTTTTTCTGGGTGGCTGTAGCAGTGAGCCTACTCAGGATGTGAGGTGTCTCGGGGTGGTTTCCATGGCCATGATGGCGGATTGAGGTTGTTAGCTGTGGCCCTGTTCCCACCCTGGCTGCTGAAGCCCTCACCATGGGCATTACCCTGCAAGTCCCTGCTCCAAATGCCAGTGGAGCCCTTGTCCTCCCTGCCCGGGGGTGCTGCTGCTGCTTCCACCAGGAATGTCATTTCCGGCATTTATAAGCAAGAGTTGCATGCACCCAGTTGCTTCGCCTGGGCTTGTGGGGTTCATTTAAGACAAGACCTGGGATTGATAGTCACCGTCCGCCCAGCTGCTCACGTGCACCACTCTCTCTGTGCCTGCTGCTATCCTTACCACTTCTTTTTTTGAAGGACCGAGGACTGAATTCAGGACCTTGGCACTGAGCTACAGCCTCAGACTTTTTTTTTTTTTTTAATGTATTCTTTTCTTTAATATATGGTGATATCAGAAACTGGTAAGGTCACATTTCTGGAACACTAAGGTCTTAATGCTCAGGTAGTTTAGTTCAAATGTACAGACAAGTTGCTAGATTTTTTTCTTTAAATGCATTCTAGGAAGTACAATGCACGTTTTTGAAGACTCAGACAGTCAAGCTCTCTTCATTATAGGTCCGTGCAAAAGTATACTGATTCCAAATATATCACAAAATCCATCATTGTCTTACATACATACAGCCTCAGCCTTTTTAAAAAATTTAATTATTTCAAAGAGAAAAAAATAATAAAGCAAAATTTCAAAACAACAAGAGAGTAAAAATAGTTAATGCATTGCATACCTTTAAATTAGTTAGTTGCTCAGAGTACAAGATACTGTCATTTAATGGTCCAAAGTGTATGTCTACAGGGTCTCATTACGTAGATCGGACTCTTAGTGATCCTCCTGTTTTCAGCTTCCCAAGCGCTGGGATTATAGGTATGTGCCACCACACCCAATCTCAGTTGCTGTCTCAGTGCACCCCAGGGGTGGGGCCAGCATGGCAGGCTGGGGATCAAACCCTGGTCTCTGTGTCTGTCTAAGTGGGTTCTTTAATCCGCTGAACTATCTAGCCAGCTCTGTCCAAGGAATATTAACACAAACCTTTCTTTTTTAAATTTTTATTTATTTACTTTGCCAGGAATAGAATTCAGGGCCTTGTGCTTGTCAGGCAGGTACTGTGCCGGTGAGATATATCCCCAGACCAAACTTTCCTTTTCAATGAACTAAGAGAAA